GGGGGGGGGGGGTATAGAAAACTCATATCTTCGACCCAAAAATTAAGTTGCTTTTCTAAACTTCACTAAGTATTTTGCCTTGATTAATTAAGGGGGCTAATATTATCACATAAATTTTATCGAATTGGATTTAGATGTTTAAACGGCTCCATATATTGCAATATAGAAATGGTATTGATCAATGCATAAAATAATTAAACAAAACAAAACAAAACGAAAAACATGAATAATTGAATGGAGTAAGAGGTGTGAGGAACTTACCGACCAAAAGTATCCGCCACATATCCACAACAAAATGCAGCAATCGCAGCTGAGGCGAAAAGGACCGAATTCACAAAGGCGTAGAGCACGGAGGCGTCAAAGTAGGTGATGTGCTTGCTTAAGAACTTCTTGATATTCTAAGGAATGGAAACAAGATATTCTTGCAGTAGGCGTATTACGCTCATATAATCGTTTATGAATAATCGTCTGCAAGCGGTGACTTACGTCCTCTGGCAAGTTGATAACGGCGGAATTGTATCCAACCACAAATGATGAACCAAAACATGTTGTAAAAATGGCAAGAATCAAATTTATTGTTACCCCTTGCTGAAAAATTTTGAGAAAAAAATGATAACACAACTTGTAAATACACATTACAAATATCAAGCCTTGACGAAGCCTTTCCATCTTGCAATTTGTTGCTTTTATGAGAATAGTAGTCAAAGATTTTCCAGGATTTATGGCCGTCGTTTTAGGTTAATTATAAATATTAAATGACTGATACTGGTTTTTCCGATTGTATGAGAGATTAACCGATGATCACATGTGACCTATGAGCTGCTAATCCAAAATCTACTTTCAACTACGAACTCATCAATTTGTGAACGTTTGTAAATATTTGCTGTGACTTACGAGAGTATATCGTTGGTTACATTTTGATGGTGGATTTAATTAGGAAAATAACCAAATAAAATAAAAATATTGATTACAGAATAGGGAGAGGAGAAAAATGTAATAAATCGTCAATTACTTGGGCCACCATTTTTCAGGCAAAAATGGGACAGTGAAGAATTCTGCTAACGGGAAGTTAGTCGGTAGGTGATTCAATTTATTCGTTTAACAATTCCTTAGCGTTGGCAGTGGCCATGCGCTGTATAGCTTAAAGAGCCAATCAATACAAATGGAAGGATGCAAAGCCAATGAAAATTCGGTGATCACGACAACCAATGAACGGTCCTCATCCTTTGGCTTACATTGCCATGCATTCATGCAGACCACACTTATTTAACCAACGGGATTTTTCTACCCACCCGATCTCAGGCTTTTAGATAAGCAACAAAAAGGTGGAATTTCTTAAAATATTCGCAAATTTCATTTTTGGAAAGTCCACGTGTGCGTACGTTGGAATCAGATGGCATTTAAACGCTCTGTAAGTAAGCACAGCAGAGCGTGGCAAATTAAATAAATAAAGCGGGTCCTGATTGTACCTTAAGGTAACAACTGGAGTGTGATATTGAGTATTTGGCAATGTGTTAAAAGCTTATTCTTTACCGGGTCAGTGTTTATAAAATAGGGCATTCGATCTGACTTCCACTATCTGGAAAGCAGGCGGATTTCCTGCGATTCTTCATAATTTGGATTCTAAAGAACAAGGAAAATCCGTCAAAATCGGCATCAATTGGGGCACCCCGAGCAACGTGGTAGCCAACCCCACTAGTTAATTCTGGTTAAAATCAGAGCTGGAAAATGGTCCGGAATAGCCTTTTTATAAGCCCTGTACTCTTTACTTTTATCTTATTGTTAAGGACAATATAAATGAGCATTTTATTAACAATATGTGTAACTCAATTGAACCGTTTATATACTATGCACGCGCTACATATCTAAATTTATTCTGGAGTGAAGGCTTGTTTTATTTAGGGTTGGGGATTTTGGACATTGTGGTATTACAATGATCCCAATATACTTGGCTTGCCGTCAACCCCAAATCCTATGAATTTCCTTAGACAACTTAGACAAGATAGGATCCGGCTGAACTTAGCCCCCGAAGTTAAAGTCCTCGCACTCAAGTCCAATTAGCGTCTAGACTCAAGGTATTGCAATGACAAATGCAAGCATTAGAAGGGATGAGTCATGTGAGCAACAAGACCATTAAAGATACAACTGCCGAAAAAGTACCGTCATTCATTATTATTTATGTGCTTTCATTACTTATTTCAGGAGGAGTGAACAATTATTGAATTGTTAAATTATAACGACAACTCTACCACTTCTAGTGGCGCTAATATTAGCCAATATAGAGCCCAGAATTTAAAGTTTTGAGACAGAGTTCTCTAGTTGAATAGACTTTGCCTCCCAAAAGGTTTTAATACTAAGAAATAAGAAATTGAGTCAATGAATCGTACCCTTCAGCAAAATTATCAAAGTTTGACCAAAATATTTCGAATGGGGACAAAAGTCAGGCAAACTGGCATGAACAACAATTTGATTAACTCAAAAAGCCCAAAATATCCCAGACATGAGCAGTTGTAGGCCATTATTTGAAAATGAACTAAGTCACTTGGGATCTTGACTTTACTATCTCCCATAATTCAATCCCCAACCACGTCGTGTATTATCCCTCACAAAATTAACTTACTCATCTATTGCTCCCATGCCGAAAATTGAACCAGTAAGAAAACGCTACACTTGAAAAAATCAGAGAGATAATATTTAAAAACTTTACAGTCCACCATCCTCTATAAAATGAACCCATTTCAAATATGCATGATGCCACACAATCAGGTGGTTGCAATTCGATTGCCCTAATAAAACAGGCGTTATTTAATTACAGTGTTCAATCAAGTCATTTTTATTATCTTGATTTATTCTCCTTTTTTATCTGCCCATCCTCGTGATCTTTCAGATGAAGTTGAAGACAAAAGTGTAAAAATGCTGCATCTACTTACATTATTTATCCAAATATGCTGAAGGTATTTTTTTACTGTTCACAGTTGCTATTTTAAAACCGCCAGGAAACCTGTGCATTTTCTCGTTTAATTTAACTTTCAGTTTTAACTTCTACGCAAAAGGTTAAAATTATTGGATGTAATTTTAATTTTTTTAAGTAGGGTGCGTGACAGACTTATCTCCACGTGGTGCATCCTAGGCAACGTATACTCATACGGCAAAAAGATTATTAACCGGTGGTTGACTTCTGACTTCAAACTATCAACACCCCACTATTTGTCATATTTCACCACTTCGACAGTACTCATCTTACCTTTTCTCTGCCTTTGTGTCCGTCTGTTTCTTTTACATCTGTGAATCATTATTCTGTCCCCAACTCGACTTTTTGTCACTTTGATGTTTCTCATCCTCTCTATGAACCTCGAAGTCAGCTAAAAGACTAATGATAACTATCAAAACACCTACCTTTAGTTGACTTCGTGCTTCATAGAAAGGAAGAGGAACACCAAAGTGGCAAAAAGTCGAGAGGGGGGACAGAATAATGTTTCCCAGACGTAAAAGAGACAGGCAGACACAAAGGTAGAAAAAAGGTGAGTGCTGTGGAATTAGTCGAATATGAAATGCGGTGGGGTCTTGGTAGTTTGAAGTGAGAAGTCAACTGCCGGTTAATAGACTTTTTTGGCGTATGAGTGTACGTTGCCCAGGGTGCACCACGTGGAGGTAAGTCTATCGCACACCCCACGAATCCAATATCGACTGATTTCCTACTTATCTGTTT